AACCGAGACATCGCAATCAAGGAATGCCAATCTGCCATTTTTTACATCCTCTCATATGAACTTTATATATACACCCACAGAGTTGATGTGATCATTGAAATGTTGGACTTCCTGGGTTTTAATTTTAACCCAGGTGTCGTCAACATATCTGAACCAATGGCTCGGTGGCACCCCTGAAAAGGACATCAAGGCTCTCTTTTCCACTTCCTCCATGTACAGGTTTGCAACAATAGGAGAAACTGGGGATCCCATGGCACACCCATGTTTCTGCCTACAATATTGCCCCCCGTACATGAAGTAGGTTGACTCCAGGCACAGTTTGAGGAGWTGGCACACTTGTTCTGTGGAAAGTGTGGTTCTGCTGCTGAGAGTGGTGTCTGATTTTAATCTTGCACAGACCACATCCACTGCCTTATCAACAGGAACGCACGTAAAGAGCGATGTAACATCAAAAGAGACCATTAGAGAAGAACCCGTCCAGAAGACCTGTAAAATTTTTTTCTTTTTGATTTTTTTACCTGGATTACTGAGATGCATCAGGACTTAATGACCTGAACTTATAGTGCTTGATCAAGTTCCTACAGACTCCAAAGGGCTTTACACTACAATCATTCACTCATTCACACACTGATGGTGATAAGCTACATTGTAGCCACAGCTGTCCCAAGGAACACTGACAAATATTATCCATAAAAATCAACTTCATCATCAAATTAAATAGGAAAAATTGCAATAGACAGTGAAGCCCTGGAGTTACGTTTCATAGTTTGTGGACTCAGTCCTTTTTATAGAACCTAAATACTAGCTTCCAATGAGCCCCGCAATTTTGTGGAAAACAGAAACAGTACAGTGAGAAGCAGCTATTTTTAAAATCTTTTTTTCAAACTAAATTATTAAGAACAACATCACTGACTAAATTCGTACAATTAACATTAACAAAAATTCAGTTCTATGTAAAAAAAGTTCAGTCCAGGATATGTCTTGTGACCACGCTTCGCCGGGAGTGCAGCATTTCCACATTCTAACAGTTTACTGTGCAGTACTGCGTGGTGTGTAGCTGCTAGTTGTTTTTTGTTTGGTTTATACTGCATTAAGATGCCACCCAAATGCACTCTATGCCTTATTGGACCACATCCCGTATTTGCACTTATGCACAATTTGCGGTACTCTAAGTAACCCCCATGAAAAATCAGAGCTTCAGTAGTCATAAAATAGGAAAACACGAAGCAAAACAATTAAAAAAGAAAAAGGCTTTAATTTACATTGTCTTTTGCACTCAAGCTATTCTACTGCAGAGTTCCCTTTCAGCAAGAATATCCCCGCTAGAATAACAATGTACTGTGAAAGTGTCTGCAGTGTAGCAATCAGCAGCAATTCATTTGAACTAGCCTTTAGCTCATCAGTCTGGTCAGACCATTTCTCCAAACAGAGGCTGTTAAAACCATTGATTTACATTACTAATATAATATAATATAATATAATATAATATAATATA